TAAGAAGTTGCGGCCTTCTTTGACAGACCAAACAGAATCATGGTCCTCAGCAGCAATGAGAAGCGTGCGTTCTTCAGACAGCAGTGCCGCGAGGCATTGGCAGCCCATATCCGTAGGTCATTATATCCCCTCCGCCTGGCGGAAGAAACTCATGCTTTCAGATAGCCGACTCGGCCTTGTCGTCGCTCCCAGCCAAGTCCGTCTACAGCCATCCGCCGGGGATGGATACGCTTGGTCGGTCACGGAATCCAAAAAGAGTTTACTGCAGTCGAACTTGGGCAGTGGAAGTGTCGGTTTGTATCGGTCTATTTGTGAAGAATTGGGCCGGTCGCTCGAGGCGGTCACTCCGCAGACGCTGCGGGTTGCCCATTCCGAACGGGATCACCTGGCAAAAGAAAAGGTGAGCATCTCAACCCATCAAGCCACCTCTGGGGCCTGCACAGCGCTAATGATACAAGACGCTGTCGGCCCAGAGCGACGAAAGAGAAAGTGGTTCATTCACGGCAAAAATCCGCGAATTGGAATTCGCCAACCGTGAATTAAGCGGCGAGCTTGACCGCACCCGCATGCATGTGGAGGACTCCCTCAGCGAAAAGAACAAGATGCAGGTAGAAATACTTCGGCTCCAGGACGAACTTGGCGGTGTGTCCTCTCGAGCCAGTCACTTGGAAAACGAGTTGGATCGTGTCACCAGGGGAATAAGGGAGGCAATGCACGTGTTGCAGGTCCATCAGATTCAGGGGGGAAGCGCGTCAGAGCATGAAACGAGACCAGATGAGTCTGTTGAAAGCGTGGATGGCGTGCTGCTGGAAACACCGACGGTCTCAATGCGCGTCGCGTCTTGACCTGGTGCTAAGGGCGAACATCTTGCATGTACGTATCAGAGCTATTAGTAGGGCTATTTGATGATGAGTCTGACAGGTCTAAGATCCGCTTGCGGGCTGGTCGTGATTGGTGAATGATGCGAACGCGAGTCAAAGCGTGTTTTCATATCCCCCTCGCGCGTGTGTTTCTGTGTTTTGCTGTGGGTCTTATCTTATCGTAAGATGGACCTCCGGCCAATAGGGTGTGCCTCAAGTTGAACCCCCATAATAGGAAATATCGTTCTACATCCATCACAACACGTTCATAGCAATAGTATTGACGCGTTTTTACCTTTTAAATTTTCATTGCTTACTTCCAGGGGCCGTAAAGGGGGATTTGGGGCGCGATTGGCGCGGTCGGACTGTATATGGCCCCTTTTTAGATTATATGTTGAAACGTCAAGGCGGCGTATGACTCGGTTGTATATATATACTCGGTTCACAGGTTAGAATCTGTGGTATCTGTCTGTTGCAGCGCCAACCAAGCCCCAAACCTGCATGAGACATTCAATATGGTTCCATCCAGTCATTACAACGCCAATCAAACTTTGTTCTTGACAACCAACAATTTTGATTTGTAAAGCTGCCGCTCGAAGCTCAAGATAACAACATCGGACATTCTACCTCGCGCATCCTACGTCTAACACAAGACAAATCCCAACCGCCATATAGAGACAAAATAGAGCATACATTATAGTAAACATTTTCACTTGATATCCGTATAAACGAAGACTTGCACATTCTCAAAAATCAATATATTTCAATCGCCTCCCCTAGGCTGTTAACAGAATCAAACTACCCACATCTCGCGCAGAAGCGCAGTCATATGCGTTTGAATGACTCCAGATTGTGATAAGCAGTCTTGTTGGCCGCGTTCACTAGCATCTTCAGTTCGCCCTCATCCAATTGCTCAAAGAAATTGCTCTGATTGGTCAGCGCGTTGCGGAGTAGGCTGGGGCGGTCAAGACTTACGCGTAACAGCTCTTCCGGTGAACTGCACCTTTTGAGGTCTTCAGGTAGACTCCTTGCTTCGGCACTCCATGGATACTGTGAAGGGTTTTTCATGATCAGCCTTTGCACAACCTCAGCCAAAGCGAACAGCTTCAACGTGGCCGCGTCCATCTCGGCTGCATTGATCTGGCAACTGAGCTCCATTCCGGCTGCATCATAGACTGCCGTCAGTATTTTACGCCCGTGTGGCCAACCATTTA